AAAAAAAACTCCAAAAGGAATCTTCACCTGCTTTTGTCACCTGTATGATAGTTCACTCTGCGTAAAACTCCCATTAAAAAAAAAAAAAAAAAAAAAGACTGCTATGTTTCGCATCTTCTGAAGCCCCAAGTAATCCTTGCTGAGGAGAGGGTAGAATATAATTTGAACCACAACTCAAACAACTAGTGATAATGTGAAGCGACGCGAATAAAATCACACTTGCCTGAGATGGACCTCTCACTCTGAAACCATTTACTGCAAACCAATGAAGAGAGCAGCTTCTGCTCTTCTGCCTCTAGTTGAAAACCAAACTGCACGGAATAAGAGCTCTTTGGAATACTTTCCTGTCATTCATCTGTCCAAAGCAAAGTTTGGGGACATCAGGGCACAACGCAAAGAACGTAGAATGTACTTCATTTTCTTGGATTCCTGTTGAAGTTGGCTTATATCATGTTACATTCTGAAATTTCTTTAATAGCAGCTAGTTGTTACGACAATTAGCAGTTGGCAGATTTAAAATGATTTTGTTATTTCAGACTAGGATACAAGAGGATATGAAAAGGACATGAATCCTTAAGGCAAATAATTTGGTTACGTTAAGATGGAATAAACTAACCAAACAACCATGACACTGTAATTCATAACCCCTACAGTGGAAAGCATGCTTGGGTCTTACTCATCAAATCTAGTAGCTCCTGCTACTACAGCTGACAGGTAATACAAACTTTACTAAGGGTGGGGTAGGGAAAAAATTATTCTCAATTATACCCACAAGACTAATGTAAGGCCTTTGAATATACCTCAAAGGCTACAGCTATTGCTTAAAACAATTCTCACTTTCAACAGGTTCCTTGCAGGAATCTTGAGGCACTTGTTAACTTCACACCACGTCAGTGGCAGAGTAACCATTTTCAGCAAAGCAGGGATTCCGTATCTTCCAATAGCTTTTAACCACACCTTTTAAAAAATAAAGCTACTTACCATCAATCCTACCCAGGATATGGTAGGATTTAACCTACCTGCTCACCAAAAAAAATTCCGTTAGAGCTGGGAATAGAAGCTAGATCTTGATTTCCAATGTGTTTGCTCATCCACAAGACCGTCCTTCCCTCCTCCATTCACAATTTGGAAATATCAGCTTGCCAGGATCTTGCTGAGATGCAAATTATGGAAATAAGGAATCATATCCAATCATGTTCCACCAGCTACATAGAAATCTTAACAATAGAAGTAGCAGCTAATTTAGCTACCTGCCTTCCAGAAGGACTTGAAGCAAAAGGCATAATAAGCAACAGGGAGGCACTAATTGGACTGCCAGAGATTGCTTCTGCACTATCTTGAACTTGCACCTTTTTTCCCCCCCAAGAGAAAGCTTCTGCATGCCTGTGTTGTTTGTTGTTCTGGAAGTCTTTCCCTTCAGGAGTAAAACATTGTGGGTGGATTGCAGGCAGTCTTCAGCACAACAGATGGCTCATTTTAAACACCTAGGATCTCTTTGTTTCACCTGTTTAACCTGTGCTGTTTAGTCTATAGTTTGTAAGCCCTGTATGATTTTTGTAAAATGGCCTTTTGTATTGCAAATGGGTGCAAAGCTAACACTGCACAGCAGGCTCACAGAATTCAAAACCTCTCTAAGCTTTTTCTGCTCAACAAAGTAGAGGACTCGAGCATTTCAGAAGAGGATATGCACTGTATGTGAAGTGATACTGCCACACTTTAGGAGGGTCTTCAATGTTAGAACAAAGACTAAAACTATATAAAGATGTACTTGCAATAAGAGCAGGTTAATCATTCACTCAGTAAATAAACCTAATTGTCATCACTCTCCGGTGGGGGGGGGGGAAGGGAAGAAAAATAAAATAAAATAAAATAAATCAAGATTCAGGGGTGAACCTTTCTTGATATTTAAAAGATCAGCTTACATTCTCAAATAAAACAAGGTTTTCTTACAAAAAGTAAACAAAACCAAAACACTTCTTTGTAAAGATACTTTACTATTTATTGATTAAAGGCACAAGAGATAAGTATTGCTTACACTGTACCCCATTCAACTGTGACCTTTTTTAATTTTCAGGAATACCTTAAGATTTTTCCAGCTACATGGAGTAAATTTACTTAGTTCATCCTGAATCCTACTAAAACAAAAATTTCTTATACAATTGGATAAAAATTTAAATAAAAGCAATTTCAGACCAAGTTATTTTTATATGGTTTAAATTTAAATTTTTAGAGTAAAAGTAGCTTCCCATGCAAGCTGGAAGTTCATTAGAGCGTAATTAGAGTGCTTTCAGTAAGGAAAGCAGGCAACATCTTCATTACAACCGCTCTAAGAAACAGAGCGCACACATTTGCTACAGACTGAGCTACGCTTTTTTCCTTCTAGAAGTGGATCCAATATCCCTAAAGGAATTTTTTTTGTCATGGTCTGCAAACTTGCCTAGCTTCCAGACTGGAATGTGGCCCTTTGATTGTTTTGCAAATGTATTTGATTACTGCTTTCTTCCTTTTGACAAGTGCTTTCATATGTATTAAACATTGGTTTTTGAGTAATAATTGAGTGATCTAAGTTCACCCCCACAAAGCCTCATTAACCTTTGCCCTCCCTTTTCTCTCCTCCTTCCTGCTCTTAATCAGATTATAATTTTATAACTATCAAAACAGACAGATTATTAACTTTCAGCTCTAGAAATGGCTACTAGTGTCCCTAAATACCTTTTTGAAGTTTGAGATTATTCTACCCACCTTTTCTACTAATCTTGATCCTTAAGTTCTGGGACAAAAAGGCTCAGGTGTTTCTAGAAATGGAGCAACAATCCATTGGAGCAACTCCAGAAATGGAGTCTGGATGCAACAATCATATTTTGACACTTTTTAAAATAAAAGAAAAAGCCTATATTGAACTTCCGCAAAGTAAGAGGTGTAATTTGCCTCAGTTAGTCCTTTGCCCACTCAAAAGTGCAAGGCAATAGAGTTCACTTGCAGTCACTTGATTCATTTTATTCTTCCAGGTATAGAGATTAACCTGGTGACTCTAAGATCAGTTCCCACCCAAATGAAAGGTACCTAAAGCTAGAAAACACTTAAGACAGTGCTTACATCCATCAACCCCGCCCGCTACAAGAACATAACCAAGCTCCCTTTAAGTTCATTGCATAAATATTTTACAATAGGGAGATTTCAATACAGTTCCATCATTTTCATTCATTTAAGGTAGTTTCCGCTCCCGGCAGAGATGAGATACTGTCTGAAAAGTAGTCTCTGTTTTCCCATAGTTATTTCACTTTCAAACCAGATAACCCAAAATGCTGGTTATTCTGTAAATAACATCAGTGCACACCTTACTGGGTCTGAGAAAAGGAAGAGGCGCATCATTACGTTGCAGATCTTTTCCGCAGATCGGGCTGTAGTGTCTGAATCCTACGGAGGCTCCTGCTCAGTTCCACTTCAAAGACTTGCAGCAAGCTGTAGGATTCCATATGGCTGGAACTATTGCAAAGGTCATCTCTCACAGCAAAACGTGTATGAAGTTCTTGAAGTCTAGGGACCATGTGTTTGCTAAGGTATCTCCAAGCTGGACAGTCAGAACACTCTAGCCACCTAAAAGTTGTAAATTAATTTATTATAGCAATCTTAAAATTGGATATGAAATATCCGGACTTGACTTCCATGAAATTAACTAAATGCCTAAGTGTGTATTATTCAAATCAGACTCTCCTTAATAAAAATACTTCACAGAATCACAGAATCATTTAGGTTGGAAGGGACCTCTGGAGATCATCTAGTCCAACCTCCCTGCTCAAACAGGGTCCTCTAGAGCATATTGCCCAGGATCACATCCGGACGGGTTTTGAATATCTCCAGGGAAGGAGACTCCACTACCTCTCTGGGCAACCTGTTCCAATGCTCTGTCACCCTCACAGAGAAGAAGTTTTTTCTCAGGTTTAGGTGGAACTTCCTGTGGTTCAGTTTGTGCCCATTGCCTCTTGTCCTGTCACTGGGCACCACGGAGAAGAGACTGGCCTCATCCTCTTGACACTCCCCCTTCAGATACTTGTACACGTTGATGAGATCCCCTCTCAGTCTTCTCTTCTCCAGGCTGAACAGGCCCAGCTTCCTCAGTCTTTCTTCCTAGGAGAGGTGCTCCAGCCCTCTAATCATCTTGGTAGCCCTCCGCTGGACTCTCCTCCAGTAGCACCATGTCTCTCTTGGACTGGGGAGCCCAGAATTAGACACAGTACTCCAGGTGAGGCTTCACCAGGGCTGAGGAGAGGGGCAGGA